CTGGTCATTTTACTCACATTGTTTAGGGTTTCTTCAGTAGACTCTGGCCGTAAAAAGGCACTTAAGAAAGATGGACCAAGTACTTTTACATGGTACCTAGGCTGTGAAGCTGAACAAAGCTGGGTGGCCACTTTTGCTCTTAGGAGTAAAATCTCTAGTCTTTGGGATACATCAATAGAGGGAGTAAGTTCTAAAGTTTCAAAACACCCCAGAGCTGTAGTGCGGGGGGGTCCCTTCTTCTGTCTTATGGAATGCAGCAGATGTCTGCTTATGGGCCTCTCCACAGCCCCACCCCTGATGCCTGGCTTGGGAGGCTCCATACTTGTCTTAGTGATGGCGCCCATCAACCTTTCTTGCTCTCCATGTGGAACTCCCACTTTTTGGCCCCTCCATTTGCCATCAGAGCAAGAGCTCCACGGGTTTGAGGCTGAGCAGGTGTCCTGTGATTACAGAGGCTTGGCTGGAGGACCACATCCCTGCCACTTGCCCAGAGTAGAGGTCAGCTCTCTGAGGATCATCTCTATCAGGAGTGCCACCCTTAGATCTCTGGCTGTCTAAGGTCCTGCAAGGTCAGGTGACAGGAGAACCGGGCCTGGCTGGATAAATCTGCATAATTTCATGACATAGTAGTGCCCATGGGAATGATGGGAACAGGCGGTATAGTGGCTCAGGTTTGGCTCTTTGAGGTGCATTTTAATCAGGCTGTATAAAATATGTGTAAATGACAATCAAAAAACAAAAAAAATCTTCTTCATTCCCTGCAGAACACAGCTTCTTTTCATTTAGGATCTTCCCATCCCCAAACCATTAGCATGACCATGGCAAGCAGCCGAGACCATCTGGGTTCTCAATATTATCTTCGGGTCCCCGGTAGAGACACAGGTACCACAGGGAGATGTGAAGCCCTCAACGTTGTGGTGGTTGGGAGTAAAAGGGAATGGGAAGAGAGCCTTGCTGATGGAAAGGATCCGGGAAGCCCCAAGCTGTCCAAGTACCTGTCCTCTAAATTTTCTGTAGGCCTACCATCTCTCATTTTTCTTTTTGTCCTTCCTCCCCTCATTCCTTCCCTTCTTCATTCCTGCCCTCCTGCCTTTCTCCTTCCCTCCCTGCCCCCTCCCTCTTTATTCCTTCCCCTTCCCTTCCCCTTTCCCTATCTTTTTCCCCATGCTGTCATTCCTTCTTTCTTTTCTTTCTTTGGAATATGTTGAGCTAAACAGCTGTAATCTCTATCACTAGGCCCTCTTTATCTTCTAGGGCAGATGCTAAGAGTTTTCTTGTGAGGGAAGTCACTGGACTCTTGAAATTCCTGTGACTCAGCCTTCCTACAGGCCTGTCATTTTAATTTTTCATTCATTCACTCATTCATTCATTAATTCACTCATCCATTTATTCAGCTATTCATATGGGATGTGTTGCACTGATATGGCACACCAGGCATTTTGCTATACATGGGAGAGTTAGAAATGAATAAGGTTTGTTCTCTGTTCTTGAGTAGCTCACAGTGCAGTGGGGCAGTCAGACAAATAAGAAAATATGATCCCATGTGGCAAGTATACAGGAATACAGGGGTGCGGAATGTCCTTGGGCTCAAGGTCAGACCCTTTGGGAGTCAAACCCCTTTTACTTGGAGTGACTCTGATGGAGAAAATGTGTCTAGATGTTGCCACATGCTGTCATTTGGGGATGAGAGGTGAGATGAGATCACTGGCCTTTGACAATGTCATTTGTACAAGTAGTGGGAGCAGAGGTATAAATCCTTGATCTGTCTGTGGGCAGCCAGCCTACATGGTGATACTGACAGGGGCCAATAGAACCCAGGTGTCCTCACCAGGAGGAAGAGACAATGCCGGAGAGGAGAGGCACCCTGGGGGATCTAAGGCAAAGTGGAGTGTGGGTCAATTGGCTTGTTCAGAGCATTCATTTTGGCCTCAGACATTCCTGAGTTTGAATCCTGCTTCCCCAGATAGCAACTGGTATGGTGGTGGGGAGCTATAAAGTGATAGAGGCACAATGGACCAAAGACGTGAGGGGCAAAATCAGAGAAAGAGACAGGGAGTCTATAGAGGCTGTGAGGACATAGTTTTCAAATTAAAGTACATCTGAGGGCCATTGCGTCAGTATCTTAACGACTGTGGTATTTACTCTAAGCTCCAGAGTAGTTTCAGGGAGGGAGTGATCCACCTTAGCTGGGGTGGCAAAGGGAAATTAGCCTAGCTGTGAATAATACTTCATGGAGTGGTGATGATGAGGCCAACAATGGGGAAGCTTGTGAACACTGAATGGGCAGTGATTGAACAGGATTTTGCAAATTGCAATTACATAAACTATGTAGTATTTTTACACTGCATTTTATTATCACATTAGAGATGCATTGCTTCTGAAACACCACATTTAAAAATGGGACAAATCTTTTAAAAATACGAATTAAAATGATCACAAAATGCTATTGTTTTTTATAAACATTGATGAAAATTTTGTGTCTGATTATCCTGTTACAGGGAAGCTTATAAGTGATGAAATCTCCATTAGAGGATGAAACAGGTAATATTCACGGGATGAAAGGAGCACCTGTGAGAAGAGGTTTATTCGCGGGGCTGTGGAGAGGGGGAGGGGCATGAGGAGAGAGGCCTGCTTGTGCAATAACTTTGTCCCCTTGGTATTCACGATTTATCCCCTCTTCTTTCCAGCTGTTGTTTTTTGATGTGGAAGCTGGCAAATATTTAATGTCCTTTCTTTTTGTCACCACCAAAGTCCCTATCTCTGTGCCTCAATATTTTGCCTAGGCTGAGTGTCTTCTCTGTGTTTATTAAATACAGTGTCCACTCACCTCCAGAGGTTGAGAGGCCAACTGAGGAGAGGGCTACTGTGTTTCACTCTGTGATGCATGCAAAATTGGGAACTGTCTCCTTTGGACCAGTTTTGAATGTGAATTCCCAAGAGAAGGAACTTTGTCTCTCTGATTCCCTGTTGTGTCCCTAGTGCCTACAGTCAAGCACATAATCAGTGCTCAATTAAAATGTGTCGAGTGAATAAATGGGTCCAGGGCTCAGGACCTGGTATTGCCCAGATGAGGTTTGGGGCATCTGTTTTTCTCTACTGCTGGAAACTCCCTTATTGGGCTCCATTTCTGAGAGATCGTTTTATACTTCTAGATTCCCAGGATCTCATTGGTTTGCCAGCAAGTTATTTTATTTGTTGGCTCTGCTCTGTTTTCTCTCCACTCAGATTAGATTCAACCATAGCCAGAACCCCTCACTCTTCAGTGTAGTGGAATGAGGTGCTCTGGGCCAGCAAGCTTGTTCTGCAGCCCCTGTCAGGTGGCAGACTCTGATTCTCCAGTTATGTCCAGCCTGTGGCATGCTGCTTCCAGGTCTGCACAGAGATGCTGGGTCTGCATGTGAGTATTGCTCACATTCCAGGTGTGGAGCTTTGTAGGCGACATCAGGCACGGCACACTCTTCCCTGGGGGCCAGGCCTTTCACCCCCTTCACTGTCCCTGGCTGAGAGCTCTCCAGTGATTTCAAACTGAACTTAAACCAATGGCCCAAATCCATGCCTCCTGTTTCAATTTCAATTTCAACAAAGGTTTTTGGTGTTTTTTTTTTTAATACCCGTTGATGCATTTCTGAATATCTGATATTAAACTT